AGAGAGAGAGAAGAAGGAGGAAGGGGAGGAGTCATAGGAAGAAGAAAAGAATAAGAAAATTTAGATGCACTTTCCCTGATTGAACATTTCTAAATCTCAATGGAAAAACATTTTAATCTCATGCCAACCCTCCCCTCTCACACTTTTGGGTGAGGAAATTCAGTGTAATACATAGGCATGGAATGCACTTGACTGTACCTCTTTGTCAGTTTAGACAAGGAGATCATTAAAAAGATTTCTAACTGAAGATGAAGAATTTAAAATGCTATGACTTTATATAGAGAATAGTAAGGTAAGGTTCTAACAGCACACTTTTACCTCACCCTGTCATGCCGATCAATTAGCCAGCTAGGATTCCTTGAATGGTTACTCTGGGCCCAGGTTATACGATTCTGGCTTGGTCACTACCCTTCCACATGGCCTCACAGTATCTTTTTATATGAGGGATGTTGCCCGGGCTCAGGCAGATCTGGAACTGTGGTCTGAGACCCTCTGATCTGCCATCTGTTTCTGATCCACACCGATTGTCAGTGAGATAGAAAGTAGGTATAGAGACAGTATCCTCTGCATTACTGCAGACTGCAGTGTTGGGATGTGGGCTCAGGCAGAGCCCAACATGCTAGCAAGCTTAACTTGTTTTATGGGCACTGAGGGTTTCCATCAGAAGCCTGGGGTCTGGAAACCTGATGTCTACCTGACTGGAGGTCTTGGAACAGAGAAGTGGAATTGTTGGAATATTTCAGGAAAACCCCATTACATTAATTTCATAATGAGTGCATATTTTAAACAATTTTTTAGACAAACCTACCCTTCTTTTTACTTAGGGTTATTTTTGAAGAATATGGCTTTTAAAAAGTCCTAATAAGTATTTAATGTTTGATTTAAGCCTAAGAAGAATCACTTAATTCATATAGGCTCTGCCAAACCACATAATAGTTGTATGACCTGAATTGTAATTAGCTGATGAGCACTTCTAATGTGCCAGGCTCTTACTACATGTTTTATATCCATTATGTTATAAATTACTCAGAATAATCCCTTGAATGGATCCTCATACTCTCTCCAGAAGAGCCTGAGACTGGGAGGACTGCAGTAGCTGTCCAGGGTCCTGTGAGGAGTGGGATGATGCTGGGCCCCTGAGCCCCGGTGTCTCTAAGTATGAAGTGAAAGTGATAATGACTGTGAGGTATAAATGTATATGCATATATATAAAGTCCATATAGGGACTTTATATGTGTGTATATAGGTACCTATATAAAAATTAAACTAAAAACTTATGCATGCACCTACACACACACAAACACACACACACACATATACACATAAAGATTTTTCTACACATATATATTTGTACCTATGTCTGGTACATAAAAAGCATTTCACAAATAGCATTACCTTTACAGGGATTACTTTTCCACAAAGACCAATTTTCTTCTGCAGAGGAACATGTGTATATAAGAAAGGTGAGAAGTCAGGGCTGGTATTGTGGTGTAGTGGATAAAGCTTCCGCTTGTGATGCCAGCATCCCATATGGGTGTGGGTTTGAGTCTCAGTGCTCCACTTCTAATTCAACTCCAGGAAAGCAGTGGAAGATGGCCTAAGTGCTTGCGCCCCTGCACCCATGTGAGAGATCTGGAAGAAGCTCCTGACTTCTGGCTTTGACCTGGTCCAGCCCTAGCTGTTGCAGCCATTTGGGGAGTGACCCAGCAGATGGATGATATCCTCTCTCTCCCTGTCCCCCACCTCTCTCCCTCTCCCTTTCCCTCTTCCTCCCCCTCTCCTTCCTATCTCTGTGTAACCCTTTTAAATAAATAGATAATAAATAAATAATATTTAAAAAGAAAAGAATGGTGAGTGGTAAACAAAATTCTCATTTAAGATTTGCTGAAACACTACTAGGGCAGAATTCTAGCTACCTTCTACCATCGCCTTGCTCAAAGTTTTCTGAAACTTGTATATCTCTGAGTAGTCAAGTGAATTATTCACTGATAGGACTCATCTGTTTTATCTCAGGTAATGTGGAAAGGGTTTTTCAAATCTCATTCAACTCATGGTTAGAAAGAACTTTCCTCATATAGGTATCTTTTCCTACTAAACTGTGACTTTTTTAAAGGCAAGGGCCAATCTGGCCAAGATTATGTCCCCTGGCCTGGCAAAGTAGCTGACATAGTACAGGTACTCTGCCACAGAATCAAAGTACCCTAGATACCTGTGGCAGAAGGGATCTTGAAGGGATCAGCGCTGTGGGCTAAGCCTCTTCCCGAGGTGCTGGCATCCCATAGAGGTGCCAGTTTGTGTCCTAGATGCTCTTCTTCCAATCCAGTTCTCTGTTATGGCCTGGAAAAGCAGTAGAAGATGGCCCATGTGCTTGAGCCCCTATACCCCCGTGGAGACCAGAGGAAGCTCCTGGTTCCTGGCTCCTGGCTTTGGATCAGGCCAGCTCTGGTTGTTGTGGCCATTTGGGGAGTGAACTAGCAGATGGGAGACCTTTCTCTCTGTCTCTCCCTCTCTACGTCTCAAATAAAAAAAATAAAATCTTTAAAACAAAAGATCACTGGAAAAGTTCATTGATGCACTGAGTTCTGTTTATTCAAAGAGAACAGCTTTGGAGGACAGGTGTCTCAAGTCTGTCCTCTGATTCCCAACACTTCCTGAGCTCAATGTGCAGTAATTCATCTCTTCTGGAAAGTTTACTAAGGGATATCTGTTGAAGGTTAAATAAAGACACCCAAGGAAGATCTTCCCAATCGAAAAAATATAGTATAAAAACTGATGGGGCCATACCAGCATCCCACGTGGGCACCAGTTTGAGTCCTGGTTACTTGACTTTTTTAAAAAATATATTTTATTTATTCATTTGAGAGGTAGAGTTACAGACAATGAGAGGGAGAGACAGAGAGAAAGGTCTTCCTTCCATTGGTTCACTCCCCAAATGGCTGCAACAGCTGGAGCTGCGCCGTTCCGAAGCCAGGAGCCAGGAGCTTCTTCTGGGTTTCCCATGTGGGTGCAGGGGCCCAAGCACTTGGGCCATCTTCCAGTGCTTTCCCAGTCCATAGCAGAGAGCTGGATTGGAAGAGGAGCAGCCGGGACTAGAACCGGCGCCCATATGGGATGCCAGATCACAAGGCGGAGGATTAACCTACTCCACCACAGAGCCGGCCCCTACTCGACTTCTGATCCAGCTTCCTGCTAATCTTCTGGGAAGCAGCAGAGATGGCTCAAGTGCTTGGACCGCTGCACTCATGTGAGAGACCTGGAAGAAGCTCCTGGCTTCTGGCTTTGGATGGAGGATCTTGCACTCTGTCTCTTCCTCTTTCTCACTGTAACTCTGCCTTACAAATAAATAAATAAATCTTAAAAAAAAAAACCTGAGGAAATTAGCACCCATATCATATCAGTAGAGGAATAGATAAATGGTTATTCTGAAGTAGAATGGAGGTCAGATTATGCTTTCCACCCTAAATACTATGTTTATTTGTGGCATTTTACATTGGTAAACAAAGAAGGAACTGTTTTATTAAAGAAATTTGGAAAAATATAAAAGTATATTTTTCTTATATCCAAAATAAAATACAGATAGGTTAAAATTCTAAACATAAATACTTATATTTGTATAATAGCAAAAATTAGGAGAAACATATTATAATCTTGACAGCAAAACCATAAGGGAAACTATTTGACTATTAAAAACGAAAAAGGATGACACACTAGGCTCAAACACATAGAGGGAAAAACTATTGAATAACATGCTAGCAATGGGTGCTTCTAGAGAGGGTAATGCAGAGGACATGTGGTCAGTCATATATTACTCAGGGTACTGGAAAAGCATTGAAAAGAAATGTGTTTAGAAAAAACACCTAGGTATTTAATGCCCCCCCCAAAAAAAAATGTATGGGAAATCATTAGACACTAAGTAATTTTGACATGTATTAGCCTTATTTGTTTCTATTAGTAAAGGTTATTTTTTCATTCTTTGTAATTTGCTTTTAGAAAATCTCATCTTCTGAGAAAGATTATATCACATTATCTGTACAAATGGACTCCTAAAGATCTAAGATTTGTTTTAAGCTGAAATATAATGTTGACCAAAACAACCCATCCTCAGACTCCCTGACCTGTTGTACTTGTTACTAAATTACTATTCCACCCCTGCCCCCTTCTGATAGTATATCACAAAATATTTTTGAAATTTGGTGTTCTGTGGTGTTTGCAGCCTGGAATTAATTCCACTTCCTGTTCAGGGCCAGGAAAACACAGGGTTAAAAGGAACCTTAGAATTCAGTCATATCTCCCATCTCAAAGTTCTACCAAGTCTCCTCTTGTCCCATCAGTACTTCTCCCCCAGCTTTTGTGGATGAGGCAGAGAACAAGGGGTGGAGAGGAGAAGTATCAAGAAGTGAGCATTGGCAACTGCCACACTCTGAAATCTTATTAAGTTTCTATACTTCTCTCCCACACAGGAAAGAGTCAATTAAAGATCATTTTATAAGAGGTTTCACTTTCTGTATGGAATTTCTGTTCCACTATACACACTAAGTAATAAACTTACATGGCAATGTTTGAACATTTATGAGAACGAATTATTCCTAAATTATCAGCTCACATTATCATATAAATGATCACTCTGGCTTTCTCTCCCAGTAGTGCTATAATCTCTAATAAAGCAGTTTATACATGTTTTCAGGGAGGATACAGTGCCCCAGAAAACTAGCATTATATTGCTTTAATATTAAAAAGCAAAATTACTCAGGCAGATTTTATCAGATGCCTAAGTATCTGGATCAAATACAAGTCAGCCTATCCTACATCTGTAAGGAAAACCAGTCAGAAAGAGCCCTGAACATGGTGTTGTTTGAAGCATCCCAGGCGTGGTGCATTCAAACACCCCTATCAGATTGTTGATGATAGGATCAGTTCCCAGCCTCTCACTCTTTCCTCTTCTGCTCCTACAAGAATTTGGCTCTCTAGAGAAGAAAATAAGTGGAAAATAATGGTCCTACCTTTGATGCATTGTGGCCATGATATAGACCATAAAAAAGAAGTTCTGTAGTCTGGTGAAAGGGATGGTTAATAATAGTTTGGACTTAAGTGAGGCAGATTGGCTCTGTGGAAAAAAAAAAAAAAAGACGTGCCCCTAGGGAAAAACAGACTTTCACAAATTTCATCATGCATCATGTGGGACAGAAGAGCCATTGAAATTAGAGTTTGTACAAGTATTATGATAATGCTGTTTTGAACAAGTTCTGCCAAAGTCTTGAAACCACAAGCACTTTTGGAGTTGATAATTGCCTGGAGAGATAATCTACTTTCTGTTCGCTGAAGTCTAAGTGAAGGAAACAGGACCCTGTCCAGAGAGTTTTAATTTGCCTGAAAGCCTTAATCAGATGATGATTTCCCTCTGCGGGCCCCTCTCTTGTCTGTCAAGAAGAGCTCTGCTGCGAAAGTCGAAACTGTTGGCAGACAAACACCCTTATTTAGAAGGAACAGCGTTGTGGATGGGTGCACACAGATGCAGTATGTAGACAATGCCCGTGCCTCGGATGCGTTCTGTTTGGTTTTTGAAGGGAGAGGGAGATTATTTGCAGTTACTGCCAGTAATCACAGGTGTAATAACCGACTTACCCTTTTATCAAGAGAGTGAGTTTGAATGGGTCCTGCTTACTTATTAATATGTTAGAAATATGATGGTTTGGACCAGAGTCAAGAAATAGGGATGATTTTCCACACAAACATTGGCTCTTGGAGAGGGAGAGGGAGAGAGGAAGAGCAAGCCTGTGAGAGATGGGGCACAATCTCTCTCTAACATCAGAAAGGCTATTGCCTGTTGCAAAATAACATGCAATGTCTCTCCCTGAGTCTTACCAATGTATCTGAGTCTATAAATATAAGAATCCTCTAATACTTCAGCCTTGGACTAGGCTCTGATTCTTGTCCAGGATTTCTGTGGTGGGTAGTGAGCTGTTCTGCAGCCACTAAAACCGTCCGTTGCCTGGGATGGAAAAGCCTTGCCCTGATGCCATGAGCCACTCCCCTTTCATCACCTTTTTAAAGCACAGGTGTTAACCCCATCAGCCAGGACAAACCCTGGGCCAGATGCCTCTGTCTTCTGTACATATCATTTGTCAGTCCCCGTGGAGAAGCTAGACATCATAAAACATGACAAGAATACTGTCATTTCTGGTTAAACAGGTGACTTCAACCCAGGGTTTCCTGGTGAGTCGGAGCCTCACAGACCCCAATCTATTTTCCTTTGTCACTGTATCACTTTCAGATCACCAGGGCAGACAACTGTACCATGAAGTGCAATGAACAGCCTGCTGCTTATCAGCACTCAAAGAAAGGAGCCACTAACTCTGGCCAATTCTTTCCTCCCTGTTTCTGAGGACGCAGAGGTCTAAGTGAATCATCGTATTTGTTCCTCAAAACAACTCTGTTAAGATAGTGGGGTGGACGTTATTCTCACTCTTATAAAGAGTTTTGAGTGTCAGAAAGGGTAAGCAACTCTTCCCAGATTACACAGCTGGTAAATGGTAGTCGTAGGAAGGAAATTTATCTTCTGCTTCCAAATCATGTTCTCTTGAGGTCGTCGTGGTAAGAGATTCAGTGAAAGGCAAATCGTTGTTTTAACATTTTGTAATTCAGCTCTATTGGAAATAAATAAATTTCTGAAATGAGTATTTATGATTACAGAATATTGTTTCTGGAGACTGGATTAAATAATGTTTTTGATAAATTCTCAGCCAAGAAGAGACTGTAATTTGCATTATTACGTTCCCTCTTTATATTTCTACAAATTTCCGGGTTAGCTGAGAAAATAAAATTTAGTCAATGATTAGTATAACCTAATGTAATTGCTTGCATTGCTTTGTGAAATGCAAATAGCAAATGAATCATATTTTGAAAAGTCAATTATCCTGTAAGGTAATAGAAACTTTTATAACTTTTTTGTTTCTGAAGAATACATCTTGGTATGCATTAATATCTCTAAGGTAATTATTTTCTCCATTATGTAACTATCTGTATATTTACACTGTTCAATTCAAGTCCTAAACCACACATTGTAATGAACCCAGAGAACAATATTTCTCCTTCTTTATTTAACCAAATGAACATATAGAAATTGATTCTATTTCAAAAGAAAAGTGGTATCATTGAGTTCTTATATTGTGCCAGAAATTTTACATACACCATCTCTTTCCATATTTAATTTTCCTATTAAAGATATAAATTTCAGAAAGTTAAACAATTAGCTCAGGGTCACATAACTACTTAGTGATAAAAATAATACCAATAATATCAATCCCAGATCTTTTCTCCATAACATGTTGTTTCACAAGTGAAAATATTATTCAATTCTTATAAATATGCATATAAACAAAATAATAACCAAAATCTTCCTAACTTGGAAAGCCTAAAGGTGACATAGATATAGATATGGATATAGAAAAAAACAATAATTCTTCAGGGAAAAATTCAATGTGAATTAACTTGATGAAAGGAATCGATGTCAGATATGGGAAGAGGTCAGTTAAAAAATTGCCTACTGAACACTTTTCACGTGTACATTAAAACTGGATAATCTATTATCATATAATTGCATGACCATGTCTAAAAGAAATTAATAGACATATTTGTCAAACTAATTATCTGATTTTACGTGAGCTTGGAGTGATATAAAAAGGTAGTGGGACTTGAGAATGCAACCTCAAAATCAGGGACAAAATTCTGACATAAAAACACAATACTGGGCCCAGCACTGTGGCGCAGAGTAAAGCCACTGCTGCAGCACTGGCATCCTGGCTGCTCCTCTTCCAGTCCAGCTCTCTGCTATGGCCTGGGAAAGCAGTAGAGGATGGTCCAAGTCCTTGGGCCCTCACCCACATAGGAAACCTGGAGGCTCCAGTCGTTGTGGCCATTTGGGAAGTGAATCAATAGACGGAAGACCTTCCTCTCCCTCTCTCTCTGCCTCTACTCTGTAACTCCGCCTTTCAAATAAATAATCAAATCTTTAAAAAAAAAAAAACATGATATTTTTGTGTGAAACAGCTATGGAAATTACAATGTATGGAAGCTAAGTAAATGGTAAAAACCGAAGAGACTGTGATTTTCAATAGTGTTCTAAACAGGAATGACATAAAAATAAATTTATGAAGTTATTTTTCCAGGGAATTTAGGCTTGGTGAGTTTCTACCATTCAAAATGGGTACATATTATAAACATTTTTGTATTACTCACATTTTCCAAAAAGAGAGATTGCAGGATGCCTACTCAGTCTGGGACTTGCTGTCCTTCCCTTCAGTTTATATTAGTTATGATCACGATCCTGTATGTCTATATAAAGTCTCTTGACTCACAAATGCTTTTACATTTTTTATTTCATGTTGGTTTCTATCCTCTCAATAACCCTGTAAAGTAGGAATCACAGCAAGTAATTGTTATCTGTGACAAGATTATATTGGTTTGTGTTTCTTTATGGCTCATAATAGCTAAGGTATACAGGCTGTCATAGTAGCTAGGGTATATTGATAGTCCCAGACATATGATGGTTCAATTCACGATTTTTATTTTACTGTATAATGGTGCAAAGTTAATGTATATTCAGTAGGAACTGTACTTTGAACTTTGAATTTTGATTTTTTTTTTCCCCACACAGTGATATGTCATGCCAAATTCTCATGCAGACGGTTGCAGTATGATTCTGGGAGTAAACAACACACAATCTAGAGTGTCTAGTTTTGCTAAACTTTGGTATGTTAGGTACAATATATTTTCATTTAGAATATATTCAGCTTATGTGAAGGGTTTATTTGGATATAACCCTGTTGTAAATCATGAAACATTTGTATATTTTAAACTTTTTTGACCTTTGTTGAGGGGGGATTGCAATGATAATTTAGCAGCCTTGTTACTTTTACTTATATGATATAAGCCCCAAGCACCACATTCTACTTAACTTACTCGATACTCACCATTCTATAACAACCCGCCCAAAACTAGAATCCCATGTTCCTCCTCACTCTGTCATTTACATTATGTATTTTACTATTTTCATAGCATTTATGGCCCGCTGACATTATCTAACTTATTTTTCTTACTTTTGTTATTGTTGCTCCCAACTGGAATGAAAGCCACATGAAGATGCAGATTTTATTTCTAGGTCTTTTTCACATTGTATCAGCATACACAGAGAAGTATGTGACTGACTGAATAAATATGTGTGAACAAAAGATAAAATCTAAATGGTCATGTTTGAATCTTACGAACTTTTCTCCCAGATCAAATCTTATTGGGCCATTGCTGGGCACCTCATTCAAGGGCACTCAATTCTGAAAATGCACAGGAATATCTGACATGAGCTGCTATAGAGAAATTAAGCTACAACAGGCAGCTTCCCTTCTTGGGGAGTTTGAGCCAAGAACCATAAAGAGAATCAGTCTCATGTGGTGGCTGCGGAAGCAAAGGCATATATGGAAGGCAGCCTTACGGTAGAATCTGAGGCCAACTCAGGTAAGGGCAAGTTGAAGATGAAGGAGAACTATTCACATGATAGACAGCAATGGTGCAAGGAAGAATAAAGCTCCCATCTCTAGTGGGAGAAAGAAGTGCCCTGTGAACAGCCAAGTTAAAGTGGTGGGTCCAGGGTCCCACCACCCAGTACCCACCAATCCCACCGTCTGGGTACTCAGTGCAGCCTGTTCCTCCAATAAGCTTCTGCCTCAGATTCTTCCTCCACCAGGACCTGCCTTGTCTGGCATCTCCTTGTCTGTAGTATGATGTATCTCCTTACTTCCTGTGCTCAGTGGACCTGTTTTAACATTAACCATACCTAATTCAACTGTGCTCCCTGATGTCTAATTTAAGATTGCAAGATGTTCTGTTCTATGGGGCCGGCACTGTGATGTAGCAGGTAAAGCTGCCGCCTGCAGTGGCAGCATCCCGTCCAGGTACCAGTTCAAGTCCTGGCTGCTCCACTTTCGATCCAGTTCCCTGCTAATATACCTGGGAAAGCAGTGGAGGATGGCCCAAGTGTTTGGGCCCCTGCACCTACATGGGATACCCAGAAGAAGCCTTTGGCTCCTGGCTTCAGATGGGCTCATCTCCATCCACTGTGGCCATTTGGGAAGTGAAACAGCAGATGGAAGATCTCTCTCTCTCTCTGTCTGTCTCTGTCTCTATTTCTTTCTGTAATTTTTTTGAATAAATAAAATAAATTTTTAAAAAGAGAGAGATGTTCTGCTTTGTGCTTAGAAAAAATCATCTAACATTAGAACAGGATTTTATAATTTACAAAATTCTTTAATCTCTATTATGCCATTTGCTTTACACAGAAACCCACTCTCTATGAAGTTACTGATTTCCTCTAGGTGGTAAATTTCTCTTATGTGCTAGGTTATCACTTTTCTCTCTCCATTAGTTTGCATCACAAGCTTATTTGTGTAAATGCCTTGTTTTGCTACTAGGCACTAAGCATATAGAATGCAGTATCACATCACATACAATATTGTTGCCAAATATATCTTTGTTCAAATAGTGAACCTGTTTTAAGACCGAATGTGAAACAATTCCACAAACTCTACTTGCATTTATCTAAACTACTGAGTTAGACTCTAAATTGTGAGTTTTTGCATTTGTTATTAAAATATTTCTTTCCTTAGTGTAGGGTTAATATTATGAATCTAAAGTAAACTGAAAACAGATCCTTGTAAAAATTAAGAGAGGGAATAGGAGAGGAAAGAGGGAGGGTGGGAATATGCGCAGGAGGGAGGCAGGGTGGGAAGAATCGCCATGTTCCTAAATATATATACATGAAATACATGAAATTTGTATACCTTAAATAAAATTAAGAAAATATTCCTTTTCTCAACTGTATTTATTTTTGTAGTTATATTTTTATTTTGACTATAACAATTTCTAGGGAACTTCTCATACTTGCATGAGTTTGTAAGTAAATTTAAAAAGCACCTAAAATGTCTCTAATTATAAAATTAGTAATTAGAGTTCCATATCTGTTTCCCTTAGTTATTTCAAACAGTGCTTGGGTTTTTATTCTGATTTTTTTTCTTTCTCTGTGAGTTCTCATTTGCCTCAAACACACTAGAATCTCCCACCCCTTTTTATCTAGCTGTTTTATTTCTAAAGATGTAGAACTTAAGAGAGTAAGCAAATCAGCAACAAAATACACAACAGTACAAGTCTTCCTCAAGGGTGGTAGAAATAACACTAGGATTTTATATAAGTTTAATAAATCTCCCATATTATTCTCACTAGGTATTAGGTTTTAAGCAACTA